ATCCATTACAACTTTCCTTGTTGTTATTAACATATCCAAGAACGCCAGTGCGGGCAGGAGAATTAACTTGATGAACAGTCCTGCGAAATGTGCCGCTACAAGCTGTTTCTAAAACATCTTCCAAGGCATCTCCATCAGCTCATGATTCTCTTTGGTTTTCTTTCTTTTCTAGAACTATTTGCTAGCCCTTAGTTGTGGTAAGCGATTATTTGTGCTTTCAAGCAAACTCCATGAAAAACATTTTTCAAGTGGAGATCAAAGAGCCAAGGCAACCATAAAAGCAGTCTTATAAAAACTATGTATTAAAAAATCTAAGCACCATCCATATGCCAATTACATCCAAACTTCACGGTCCCTTCCCTGTGAGGCTTCTTAAAGGTGATAGAAAAGTCAGATGAAACAAAAAAGGGTGCATTATGGAGAGGGAAATTATGGAGAAGTGGCTCTCAGGAGCCATCAAATGAGGAGTTCTGGTTGGGAAGGGCAGTTCCAGAGAGCAACACTGGCAGCACAAACTGTGGTCCCCAGTTATTACAGTCTGAGGACTGTAATAATTTCTAACAGTTGCAGGTGTAATGAAAAAGAATTTTCACAAGCCCAGGGGTTAAAATGATGCTCTAAATCTACAAATGCAAACTCTTCAGTCCCTAGGAAGGATTTACTCTTAAGAGCTAAGGGCTGATTTTACACCCTGAGATCACACAGCTGTAAAATTCAATTCTAAAATGAACTTATGTCCTGTTCTGCTATGACTTCCCTTCACACCTCTGCACCAGGATGTTCATTGTTTTGACCTCTGCCAGGGGTGGGATGGAGAGGCACAAAGATTTCCTTGTAGAGCACAGTGTTACTGAGCACTGGAGACCCTAAACACTCTGGCATCTGGAGCACTCATGTCATCAGTGCTCAGTGAACTTAAGCAAACAGCATAAAGGTCTTGAGGAGTGCAATTATTTGAAGTAATTAAACTACTTGCACTTGCTGACTAAAGTCGACCCAGATTTGCTGCCATCTCCATGCAACCACAGAAACTTCTTCCTTCCATCCTGTCCCAGATTAATGGGAACACCTGGAATCAAAAACCTGAGGCTGGCAGGGAGGTGCATAAAACTTTATTGATCCTTGGTGGATGGCAGGGACCCAGTGCACGGCAGTGATTCACTTTCCAAAGCCCTGCCTCAACAAGGAGCAGTGGTGGGCTCTCCAGAGACCCCTCTCTTCTCTGACTGCTTCCAAGTCCCAATCAGGAATATTTTAAGGAGATGATTACAGGAAATCACACATTCTTTCAAGGGATGTGAGCCTCCTTCACTCAGATTTTAGCATACTCATATTTTTAAGGATGGTTCACAACTAAATATGGTATTGGCTTCCTTATTGTTTCTACTGGGTTAATTTCAACACTTTAAAACACCTACATGCCAACAGGGTTCAATGGCAGCAGCCTGTGGGCAATTAAGGTTAAATTTTAGTCTTGGTCATATGTTACTGCTCCTGTAAATGTGGTGAAACACAGTTGGAGCACATATTCCCCAGAGAGAAAGTAGGCAATGCTTTAAGGCAGCCATGGAAAGATAAATGGATGCAGAGAGGCTCTGGAATTTTGCTTGAAATAATTTTTGCTTTGCTTTTAATGATCAAAACCATTCCTCCCACTGAACCACATAAAAAAATAGCATTTGTGTCTGTGCCAAAGGTGGAGCATAGTGTTGACCCACTGAAATGAAAGACAAGTGAAAAATTAATGAGAAACTGGAAACCAGCAGCTCCCACCCTGTGAGCAGTAGTCTTTTATATCCTTCTTCCATAGTGAGCATCTCAATGGGGCAAAAAATCACAGTAGCTCCTTTGACTTCAAAGGAGATGCACTGGTTGGGAAGGAGGGAAAACAATCCGGAGAGAAATGTGCCAAGTCTACACAACTCAGGAAAAGAAGAGAGCCCCTGGCAGAGCCAATCACCACTCAGGAGAGTGGGGAATGTTTTTGTTATAAAGAGTTTTATGTAAAGAGGAAAAGCACCTAATGGTGACCCAGCTTTGACTGAGGCTCTTCTTGGGTCAAAGCAGATGCAGCCTGGAACTTCAGCTCTAACTCTAGAGTTAGGGGGACAAAGACAGGTACAACAAATAAGCCTGAAGGTCACAGACTTTTCTGACAAACCCTTCAGTCTCCAATATCTGCTCTAGAAAAAATTCGCAGTCTGAGATTGTCCTGAACTCATTTCAAGAGGTATCACAATTTTTGGATTATGTCCTGGGAGGGTCCTTTTCTTCCTTCACTAACTCCAAAGAATTCATTAATTAATTATACCTTTTTTATCTAACACTGCAATGTTTAAAATAACAGTTTCTCAAGCTCTCTCAGGAAACTTAAATGAAATAAAAGGAAACGGTGTATTCCCCCATCTGTTTATCCATCATACAACCCAAAAAAATGAAAATTTATGAGAAGATCCCTAAAATCCCCTACAAGTCATTAAAAGTATTCATGTGTGTTCCTCCATTGTTATTTATGAGCCAAAAGAAGCTGTCATGCATGTAATATGCTAGCAGAAACCCAATGAATTTTCCTGATCTATTGTCTTTCATATATACATATATGAATATATGTATATTCATATATTTGTCTTCCATAGCATGTTTAATAAATTCACACTATCATTTTGAAATGATGCCTCTGTGATCTGGGGAGTTCATTATCAGCTGCTCACTGGAAGTGGTCCCTCTCCAAACCCACCACTTCTTAGGAATTAGATATAGAGTGTTTTAATTGCCTATCATCAAGTGCTGTACCTGTGCTGAGCATTCTCTGTGAAGTCTGTGGGGCTGTAATTTCCACCCCTGTAATTAACTGAGTTCACGTGGCAGCACTGGCAAGGAATCGTTTGGAAGGCAGGGAGGTTTAAAGGAGCTGCTCTAGGTCTGAGTGAGACCCTGACTTGAGCTGATTCCTGAGCCCTGGGTGTGTGAGTGCTGCAATGACAAACCTCAGCAGCATCACATCCCCTGCAGCCCTGGCAGAGGGCACTTTTGCTCAGGTCAGATGCTCCTGAGCCCAGAGGAACTCCTCATCCCCCTCTAACCTTGCTTTAACCACCTCAGCTTGCAGCAGGGAAGTTTCCCTGCCATCCCTTGGCATGCTTTAAAGGGCTGTTAGCTAGCAGAACCTCTCAATTTCACTTTGTTTTACAGAAAACATGACAAAGTGGGAGATGAGGTTTGAGAGGCTCACCAGTGAGTGTGTCAGTGCCAAAGAGGAGCAGCAGAATGTGCTGTGTGGATCCACCAGCAGCACCCTGGCTGTGCCATTGCCTCACCCCTGGCTGAGCCACACAAACTTTGCTGCAGGGAGCACCTGTAGCCTCGCTCTCCTCTACTGATTTTAAAATGCCTGCAGGACCAGAAGCACTCCTGGAACCTCTATGCCCCTGTAGAAATTGAGCAATGAGTCCAAAAGTTATTGGGGAGGGGAGGAGGATGTAGACAGAGACACGCAGACAGCATGATTGCATAAGCCTCGTTCCCATGAGAAACCAGGCAGAAAAACAAACTGTCCTGACAGGGGTTCTCATAACTCTGCCTGGAACTAGGTCATGCCAGGTCCCAAACTCGTGTAACTTTGCCTTATCTCCAGTGGGCTCTCCTCTAGGAGGCAATCCTGGCTTCGGCAGGTTTGACCTTTCAGTTTTTGTCTCACTGAGACGTCATTAAGAAAAAAAACTCAAACGATGTTGATACAATGCAATGTCAAAACTCACCGTGGTTTTGTGCTGCAGCAGGATTTGTGCTGTGGGACAGAATTATGAGGAACAAACCAGCAGGGAGCAGCTCTGACACTCACCCTACTTATGCACCAGCTCCCACTACTGTAGGGGATTGGGGGTCTAAAATAATATCCTAGATCTCTAATGGGTCTGTTCTTTCCTGGAAGCAGGAGAAGCTTCCCCCATTAACATGAATGGGACTTAGGTGTTTGCCCTGAAAATAGAATGGACCCTTAGGCCTGGTCCTTTTATTTCCAAAGAAATAATATCTTTGCTTGCCTGCTGCAGGGCTATACATTTAAAAATAATCTGTAAAAAATATATATTAATAAAGGTAGTCCTTCAGCTTAATTCTGAGGCTCACACCCTTCTCTAGGCCTTTCTCTCCAAGCTCGTGGTCAGTTCTAAATAAAAAGCTGTACTTACAGGGGACTCCCAGCAGACAAAATCAGTCTGTTTTTTCAAACTCTACAAAACCCTGGCAATGGTCACCCTTCAGCAGAGACCAGGTTCAGCAGGGCAGGTCTCCAGAAAGAGCTGCTGAGCCCTGACACCTCAGAGCTGAAATTTCATTTTCCCTCTCTTTTGTGCCACATCATCTCAGTGTGTGAGAGGGGCTGACCATGCTATGGCTGGAAGGGAGCTGCAGGCATCACTGTAAGGAATTTTGCACACTAGGATGTAGAAGAGGAAAGACTTCTGCAGTGGATCAAGATGCTTTTGAAAGCCTTCCCCACAGTCAGGTGGGTTTGCAATGTTAAAGGCTGTGCCCTGGGCACAGAGCAAATGTGAGAATGGAAGAGAGCCTTGTGTTGTATTGTTACACACAGACACTTGTGCTGTTTTGTAACACATAGAGGAATATCCTTTCTCTTTCTGTTTCTTTTCTTTGAAACAAACAAAAACAAAACCAGAAACTTCTCCAACTTCTGTAGCTTACAAAGTTGCTTTTTTTTTTTTTTTTTCCCTGTAGTAACTCTTAACTAAATATATCCCCTGTAAAACTCCACATGTACAAAAGGAAACCCCAAGTTGCTTTCCATCAAACACCCCTAAGCAGGTATTAGAACTGGATGATCTTTAAGGTTCTTTCCAACATAAATTATCCATGTTTCTATGATTCTTTGGTCGAGTGTATGCTAAGGCTCTCACTGAACTGCCCTATAGCCCTGCTCTTTGTCTCTGCATATTTATCACTATAAATTTCAAAGAAGTTGACCATCAAAGTCATCAGGGTTTGGTCAATGAGTGTTTATTATTATGAATATGCCTGGTGATTATGAAAGGTTGTCCTATATATGTCTGCTCCTTACACAGTCTGCTGTGCTCACTTCTTACATGTGCTTTCCTAAACGTTCCAGTCACAGGCCAAGCTTCATCCAGCACAGGTGTCTGAAAATGAAATCGGAAGAATTCTGCTCATAAATTGGCCTGGCATCTCAAATTAAAGGGCAAATGGCTTTGCAGCTCTGCCCCTTACAAGCCAGTCTGTGAGCACAAACATTACAGGAGCCAAACACCCCTGCAAAAAGGGACAAGCATAACCACAATAAAAAAAAAAAAGCCTATTCCTTTTAGAAACTATTAAATAAAGCAAAATGCATGCACTGTTGTACTCACTGTTGATTTCCATACCAGGTTGCTTCAGTCACACATGGGAGTTTTGCAGGTGATATTACATGTCTTGGATGCAGCATTACAAATTGATTCAAAGCCATTTGCTGGGGGAAAAAAAAAAAAGGGAAGGAACTCAGCAGGGCAGAAAAATAAACATTGCTCTGAAAAAAAAAATCCATCTACAATCAGAAATAAATTACAAAGGAATTGCAAAAAAAAATTATACCAAGGAACAATTTGAAAAAAAAAATAGATTTTTGAGTTTTACCTGACCATGGAAATAACCAGTGTTCCTTCAGCTGATTCATTCTCCACAAAACTGTTCTATTTTCTGTCACCTAAAAATATCTGGCTCCTTTTTGAAGAACTGATGAAGAACCTGGCACCTTTTTCTTCTCCCAACATGCTCCAGCTTGAAAACATCAGAGCTGTGATGCTGAGCTTCTCTCCTCAGCCAGAGTGTGAACAGCAAGGATAGGATTTCTCCCATGGAGATTTAACCACTGAAAAAGTGGGTATCAAGTGTAAGCCAGCTCTCTGGGCACTTTTTACCACCAGGATAGAGAGAAAAGTCTTTTGGGGGTGCCCCTGATTATTGGCGTATAATTTAGACTAAACACCTGTAAGTAGGTGAGATGGATCCCACCCACAGAGCTTTCTTCTTCCTCGAGGCCAATTAGATATAAATGCTGCTTCATGATCTAATTTCAAGACTTTGAAACAAGGCTTTCAGTCAAAAATGCAAATTCAGTGAAAACCAGACCTTTTTGTGGGAAAGGGCTGGCTTCTGATTCCTGTCTTTAAAAGATATTTAGAAGAAAACAATAGGTGTGGTTTCTATATTTTCAAAAAGCAAAATTTCCATTTTCTGTTTGAAACACGTCTTGTATTTGAAATTCACATAATGTATAGTCATTTTAAAAGAAGGGTCAACATAAAAAAGGACTCATTCCACTGGCCCAGCCTTTCCCCTTATATTTAAATCACAGATCTGCAAAGAAATTTCAATTTTTTTCCCTTTCATCCTGATTTAGATGAGGAAAAAAAAATCCAATCAAAACTTCAAACATCTATTTGGGAAACAAAAGCTATTTCCAATACAGCTTTAATGCTTTACCTACAGGTGAATCACTCTGTGTAAAAAGGCTGAGGAGAGTTCAGCTGTGTTGAGAGAATCCTCCTGCTATGGTTTTCACTCTTCTTTTGTTGGAATTTAAAATGTCCCTCAGACATTTTTGGAGGTTCCAGGCCCAGGTCAGAAGCATTTGAGACCCTGGCAGGCAGCTGGAAACAGCTGTGATTTTGGGTTTGAACCGTGGAATGATTTACCAACCTTGCAGGAAGAACAAGAAGTCACAAAAGTTTAGATATTAGAGTAGAAGTAGCCACAAAGTAGAGGGAAGAATTTTTTAGTGCTGTACAGGAGGGTTTTAACACCTGTACAGGGGGGGTTTAGTTTTGTACATGGGGGTCAGAGGTTTTAAGATGGAGGAATGTAGGCCGGTCTCGTTCCTCCTCTTTCTCCTTCCTTACCTCCATGTTCTTGGTGATGTTGGCACTCACAGATTGGTTTAGAGTAGAAAAGCACCATTTAATATAGGTAATAGGCATTGGGAAAAACTGTAACCATGAAACACGTAATGTACCATATAAAAGATAGAAAAGAACCATTTAATATAGGTAATAGGCATTGGGGAAAACTGTAAACATGTAACACGTAATGTACCATATAAAAGATAGAAAATCACCATTTAATATAGGTAATAGGCATTGGGAAAAACTGTAACCATGTAACACGTAATGTACCATATAAAAGATAGAAAGGCACCATTTAATATAGGTAATAGGCATTGGGGAAAAACTGTAACCATGTAACATGTAATGTATCATATAAAAGATAGAAAATCACCATTTAATATAGGTAACAGGCATTGGGAAAAACTGTAACATGTAACACATAATGTCCCATATAAAAGAGAGCAGCAGCCCTGGGCGGGGAGAGAAGAAGCAGTCGGGGTCAGAGAGGATGTCAGGGTGTGTGTGTGCCTCTGCCTGAGCTGTGAGCAAACCACAGCAGCCCCAGGAGAAAATCTTTTAGATAACTTGCAATAAACTGCCTTGAGACTGAACAACAGAGACTGCTGAGCCTTTCTTTGGAAGCTCGGGTTGGAGGAGAGACTTTTCCACCACACGGAGCCCCTGAACCAGGCTGGGTTCTGACACTCTTTAGCTGTTTGGAGCCCAGCCCCAGCCCTTGTTTGTGCATCCAGCTGAGCTGTGGGACGCAGGAATTGGCTGAACACCATGGGAGGTGCTGGGCACAAACCTGAGCGTGCTTTGCTTGTGCTCTGAGCCCAAAGTACTCGCCCCAGGTCCCCTCTGAGAGCCACGCAAGAAGGTCAGCAAGGGACCAATAAACCCTGTAACAGATAGCCAAGACCCAGAGGAAGATTTGCTTTTCCTGTGGGTGAGATGGTGCTGGGCTGTGCCCTGCAGATGGGCAAAACAGCTCCTGGTTTCACCTGGGCAGAGCAGAGTTGTCCTCTCCTCACAGACACAGTTTCCACCCCAGCATCCTGTAGTGCCCTGGGAGCTGTTGCCACCCCTTGGAGCAGCCACAGGGACACCACTGCTGAAACAGAGCTGGCATCTCAGGAACTGAGCTGTCCTGCAGATGCTTTTAACATCAGAAAGAGGAAACAGTCCAGGGAAAAAGATGCAGACCTGGCAAGTTCTTCTTTGTGGGGGAGAAAAGAAAAAGGAGAAGGAGAAATGGTGAAGAGTTTTGTCTTTTCTTCAGATGGAGAGAGGACAGAGGAGGGAGCACTGGTTGGTGCCTTAGCTGCTGATGTTGCAGGCTGTAAGTGACAGGGGTAAATGCCCCATTCCTGGCCCTGAGAGCAGGGTTGTGTTCACAGGGTGCCCCTCTCCTTGTCTCTAGGCTGCAGGATGGCTTTTGCAGTGCTGTGCAGAGCAGCGGGGGGAATTACACCGGCTCCACGCGATACCCAGGAGGACAGAGAAGTGATGCTGACAACTGTGGGGTTCAGTGCCCTTTCAGAGAGTCCCCAGCTCCTCCATCTACCCAGAAATATCAGCCTTCATTTATTTCAGTAATTGAGATTGTAGGGCATTTTTGCTACAGAGAGGGACTTCAAAATAGTCATTGTGTAGATTCCAAAACCAATAAGCAAATATATGGAAGCCTATTTATTTATTTATTTTAACTGGGGGAAATTTTTTTTTTAAACCAGTCTCAGTATCTTTTGATATTTCAAATGCTGGGGCTAATAGTGTTTTCACTGGGGTAAATAAAATATGCACAGATCAACCCTACAACAGCAGACCTTGTTCTCGTTTCTCCAGTGGGCCAAGAATGGGTGTAGCCAAGAGTAGAAGCAGATCCCCATCTGATAGAGGAATGGGATATTGAAAACAGCAGGAAAATGCTTAATTGTTGGTGCAGTACCCAACAAAGCCACCCCAGCTGCCATCTTGGCTTTTCCTTCTGATTTTTAAGCAGTGTCATTGCAGGTCTCCTAATGCAAGCCAGACTGAAAGTCCTGGGGGATGGCTGTCTCACAGCTGACAGTGCAGCAGAGCAAGAGGCTGCTCCAGCCAGGCCAGCCCTTGGATGTTCAAACCTTTTTCTTCTCAAGGCAAATAGTTCACTGTGAACAGTTATGAGCTTCCAGGTTTGTGGGATCCACATGTGGGCTTAGGTCTTGTTGCAGTTAAGGGAAATAAACACATTATGTGCTGATTTGGGAGTTACACAGTCTCTGGTTTGTCTTTCACAAGGGTACAGCTCACATGTAGTTTTAACCACTGAAAAAGTGAGTATCAAGTGTATCAAGTGTAAGCCACTTCTCTAGGCACTTTTTACCACCAGTATAGAGAGAAAAGCCTTTTTGGAAAGAAAGAAAAGAGAGAGAAAATGAGAAAACTTTAATTGGATCCACTTTGCTTCCATCCCTCTTTTCTTCCCTTCCTCCTGTGCATTTTCTTGATGTATGAGAACACTCGTGTGATGCACACAAATCCAAGGCACTGGACTAAATGTTTGAATATTATTTTCAAAGAGATAGAGCCCCTCTCTCTTGGCTGAAATCAGAAAGAAACTGGAGCTCTGAAATAAGAGTCCAGGTAGAATACCAGGAGTCCTCATTCCTGTCCAAGATGCTCTGAATTCAGATCAGTGTCTGCTTGGATTGGCTCCCAGGTATGGAGCCTCTGTGAGCTCTACTTTTATCTTCTCACCTCCTGATTCCCTTTTACTTCTTGTTTCCATCAATGGTGAGAGCTTTACTTTTCCCCTTCATGAAGTCCACACCAGAAACTCCCCTCTCCTGCTGTGACAGGCATGTTTGATGATGATTTGGTGTGGCTCTTCATGGCTTTAAGGGAACTTTCCCTCAGATGTCTAAACCACATATTTTCTCTTCTCTGGAAGAACCAGGGGAAGGCAGGTGGTTAAGAATATTCTGTACATATATATTGTAGGCAATCTGGGTTAAAAACATTTGACCCAGCCTAGGCTAATATACTTCAGTGTGTCTGAAGTCAGAACAAAGCCCATTTTTTTGATTCATGGGCTCTACGTGCAGGGGAATGGCACAAGACAGACTGTCCCTGTCCTCCTCTTGGCTCACGTCAAACGACAGAAGATTTGCACACAAGTAAAAAGGTCGCCTTGAAATTATATGAATCATTCTGAGGGGCTTTGCCCTACCTTGCCTTTTCCAAGTCATCTCTAATTCCTCTTCAAGGTATCACGTGAAAGAAAACCACAACAGACTGTGCCATGGCTTGCTCAAGTAGCTTATTTTTATCCAGCAGTGAATATCTTCACTTCCCTCTTTTCCATAGATCGATGGCTCTCCCAAAATCTCTTTCTGCAACAGAACTCATTCCAAATTTAACTGTATCTGCACTGAGGACTTCTTCAGGAATCAAATAAATGATTTGATCTCATTTTTCTTAAATGAGGTCATTTTTATCAAGAGATCATGGAAAAAGTTCAGTGGAAAAAAAAAGTACTTTTACCTCAAAAAGTCTCTCTTGGTATCACAACTGCTCTCATGCCTCTGTTTCCAAAATTAAGCTGTCCTGTACTGAGCAAAATCAGTCAGTTTACACTCAGCTTTTTTTCCATTCCATTTTCATACAGATTTAATTGCTTAGAACTTTAGCTGGCAAGAGCTGCATGAAAATTGGTGTAGGTATCAGTAACTGACCTCTTTTCTTCATAGAAATAATAAGGTATCCACGCTTCCTGCTCTTTTTTAATTTAATCAAGAAGCCAAAATAGTTAATTATATTGCAAAGTTATAACATATTGTCAAATAAAAAA